AAATTGTTGGTATTTTTATATCTCTTTATAAGTGATGATTTTAAATGCTAAAAATGCAAAAATAACAATTATCAATGCTTATATGGGACTCATTATGGGGTATTAATGTATTTTCTTTGAATGATGTTGGAACCCACATGGAAAATATAAGGTAGGCCCAGGGTCCTGGCGTCAGCCCTTCACCCGTGCTCAGTAAATGGTTTTTTTATTGAACAAATTAATAATGGCGAGAAAGAAATGTTAAAAAAGATTCTGTTTCAGAATAGATAGATGTACCTTTCCCTTTAAGAAGTTAAAGTAGGCATGTTTAGTGCATTACTGGAATTCATGAGTGTCTTAGATGGCCAATTGAACCATGGAAGGTGAGAACAGGAGCTGGCCTTACTCAACATCCAGACCGGTAATTCCAGTTCTACCATGCTTCATTTTTTTTTGCCCATCAATACACCTGAACTCTTCATATTTTTCCTGTGACAGCTTTCTATTTTATTCCTTTTATCACTATTATGAATGAAAAACTAAAATCCTTAGCAGACATAAACGCAATATTATTGAATTTTAGTTAACTAATGTTGCTTGCATTCCTAGAGCCTGAAACTTGTGCTCCCTTAAAAAGGGAGATTATGAAGGGTTAGAAATAGTAAAGACTTATTTCCATCAAAATAAGATCTTTTTCTTTATAGAACTGAAAGGCCTAAAGGAGAACTGAGCAGGAGTGCATTGTTGGGAGATGCAGCATATCTGTACAACACCAGAATTGGCTCCGTGCTTGAAAAATTCCGATCTAGCCCAACTTCCTCATTTACAGAAGAGCAAAGTGAGGCAGAGCAGAACAGTGACCTGGCCAGTTGCAGGAGGGGGACCCAGCCCTTACCATGTCACCCTGGAGTGTTGATGGATGGTCTTTCTAGCTCAGCTACTGAAAGATGGATGGCTGCAGCCAACCAGAGAGGGAACAAAAGGCCTGAAGCAGAATCTAGGTGACAGCAGGGAGGTGCTGGGCCTCAGGGACAGTGCATAGGACAGTGGAGTGGGCGAGGAATTTAGGGTGCTTTGGGGAAGGGGAGGTCACTATCTTTTCGCCTGACTGGCAGGTGTCCTCTTTACAGATGAGGCAATGCAGGATCAGAGAACGGAAACGACTTGTCCAACCTCTCATGGTCTCTCAGTGGTAAAGGGAAAGGGTCAGCCTGGTCTCAGCCTCTGAGGCTGCGCTCTGTGTATGGTTCCATTCAGGCTTTCCAGCTCCAACGTCCCTGCCCCTTCATATTCATATCTTCCAAGTATGAGGGTTGCGGTATTTTTAAAGCTTGTAATTATTGTTATTTTGCACTAGCAGGAAGAATCACAGCTTTATCCCTATACCAGCTGATAACTCATTCCCACTCACCCCCCACTCTCACACTGCCCAACACGAGACAGCCCTCCCTGCAGTAGTAATTCAGGGGCCAGCCCCCCTTGGGAACTCACCGCGAACCGCTTCCCACAGCTCTCGTTGCCGCAGCACCCGCAGCAGTCATTGTTCTTCAGGCCCAAGAACACCAGCGCCGGGAAGATCATCTGCCAGCAGAGAAGAGCCTCAGGGTGGGCCCGGGAAGAGGGGGGCCTGGGCCTGTCTGGAGCCCCCTGTACACACGGGACTTGGAGGCTCTAAGGGCATGGCAAACAGTGAGAGAGCCCAGCTGCTGGGGTGGCAGGACCGTTACTGAGTACTCAGGTCCCGATTGTCCTCAGCCTCCAAGAGGGAGGAATTTAAGCTCTGGTTCCATGACTTTCCATTTTGATAGTGGGTTAGGGCAAGGATAAGAAACCTGTCCTCAATTGTCTTCAAAAGCAAGTTTGTTTCTCTCTTTCTCTTAATTTCCCTCACATGGAGGTTCCAAAGTCTTGGAAACAAGAGATAAAGATAAGAGATAATTCATGTGTGAATGGAAGAGGATCCGCTCACATCTGCTTCTCTTGGTGGTCTTAAGTCAATCAATTTGCTAGGAGGCCCTGTTTTTTGTTTTAAAACTTTTCTTTTGTCACTGTCTTGTTGGTATAAAGACCTTGTATAGCCTTCAGTTTGGTTCATGGGATGCAATGACCCATGAGAGTCACCACACCAGCTCAAGCTGGGGGATTAATTTCTTCATAACTTAGTTAACATGTCCTTGTCAGATCTTAACAAAGAGAGGGAATAAATAAAGGCACTGACTTCTCATTGTGCAATCCTTGGGCTTCTGTTACCAGCTAAAGATCTTGCTGTTTGTTTAATAAATATCAGATTTAAAAGGTTGTGAGGATTGTCTTTAGGGGGGATTTAAAGGCTTCCCTACTTACCAAGACCCCGCTTCCTAATATTCCTCCGAAAAACCAGATCTCATCAGAAAGGTGGTCGTTGTCGTCTATCACTTTTCCTCCAGGGAAAAATAACAGGATGTTAGCCAGAAAACCAAACAGAGTCAGGGGGATGAGGGTGCCCCCCAGGCACTTGGCACAGCCCCCTGTACACATGCTGGGGGAGGACAGTACAGGTCAGCGAACAAAGGCTCCTCACTGCCTCCTTCGTGGAGTCTCTTGGAGTCTTTTGGCCGAGTGTTCTAGTAACCGTCCCCAATTTGATCAATATTTTGAGGCTGAGAATGAAACGTCTATGAGCTGTGTCCTTGGAGTTGCTTCAGCCTTCCAAATCTAGCAGCGATGGACATTTATACGTCCTCTCTGACCTGAAGTCCTTTTTTTTTATGCACCCCCATAAATGAGATTACGTTCAGAGCAATCGCTCAATCGTTTTGCCATGGAGACCAATAACCTCTGTTAATAATCCACCAGCACAGAGAAGACACTTGCATTGTTGCGATCGAAGACAGAGCTGCCACAAACAGCGGTCAGGCCGGCCGCACCTTTAATCTGCCAGTGCCCCTACCCAAATGAGAAACATCTCTGCCAGGCTTTCTATAAATCACTTGCATAATTAAGTTACATCCTGGTTAAAATCGTGTCTCCCAAGTACTTAACGATGTACAGTGTGTGTCTTTGTCTTGTCTGCTGAAAGCCTGGAACGCAGAATTAGCTAGGACAGCTTCTGTTTTCCTCAATAGGGGAATAATTCGATGGTCTAGTAATGTATCCCTGAGCTCAGGCCTACAGGAATTTTTAAAATAAAATCAGGGTAACAATTCATGTTAAGCCTGGTGGCTGTATTTCTGTACTGATTACTTGAGTAACACATTCTGTTTTCTTCCCTATAAGATGTGATGGAATCAGCAAAAGCAGTTTTCCTAATCACTTGTTCATCTATGTCTTTCATATAAGAATAAAAACACTCTACAAATGCTGAGGGGACATGAAGGCCGACATTGTGCAGGAAAGGAGAGGGAAGAGCCAGCTGAGTGGCCTGGGGGCAGAGAGCACAAAGTTGGAAGCACAGTTAGAGAGCGTGGGAGGCAGGGAAACGCACCCCTCCTGGAAATTTTCCCAACCGCCGGGGGCATGATTCATTATTAACTTGCTTTGTGTCCCTTAAAAAGGTCCCTGCCACGCCTGGACCAAACTCTACACGATGCGATGACCCTGCTTGGTACTGGTGTTGCATAAGAGCTGGAGGATTAAGGAGTGGCAGGGGGAGTTTTTCTGGCTCTTGAGTTAGAGTCTAGAGGTTAAAATTAAGGGAGAAATGTTTAGAGAGTCGAATCTCAGCTAAAGAAAGAGCAGATGACATTATGACCATGGCGGGACCTGGCCTTGGAAGGAATTGGCCACCAGCTCAGCTCCCTGGGAAGCAGGGGACAGTGGTTTGCACAGAGGCCCTGGACCCTCAGCTGTGGAGACTGTAGGAAGAGCCCAGAAGATTCAGATCAGATGTTTGGTTCCTTCTAAAGATTCTAAGAAATGTGTATGGTTGTCCCAGAAAGATACTTGGAACTCCCAGGGTCGGGGTGAGAAAGAAAGAAGGAAAGCAACAGAAGTTTACTGAGCAGACACCAGCTGCCAAGTGCAAACGGGCCCTTTGGATCCCTCTCACCCTTCTGTGAAGGCAGTGGACGGGCAGACACGTGGCCCCAAGAGGCTAAGTGAATCTTCTCTGGTCATCCCAGCATAAGAAGTCTTTAAATCAATACTCTGTGCTGCCCAAACCAGGCTTTCCCTTTTAGGAACAAACAAACAAGATCGTTTTTCACTCTGTGAGAAGCACAGGTGTGTGAGGTCCACACACACAGTAGGAGATACTTCTTTCTGAACAATAACAAAATTGTGATTTTTATTTCTTAGTACATAATAATATGTGGGGTTTTGGGGGGAGGGTAGAAAAATCAGATAAGTAGACACGCAGAAGGAAGAAAAGGGAAACCAGCCGTGTTCCCACCAGCAGCAGATAAGAACAGCCTCACTTCACAAGGTTGTTGTCCAATTACCCAAACAGGTGCAAATGAGTGTTATTTATAACTCCCAGCCTTTGACAGGGAATCTTGGGAACGATACCACCGAAGATGATGGTTTGGGTTAATCCAAGGTAGATGGCACGTTGGGGCGAGGGAGCTCCCCTTTTGGGAGTGGGCAGCTTTTGCCTTTCTCCTTGGACTGTGCCTTTTGGCTCTAGAAGGTACCATCATGGTATTTGACCAACTCCAGTGAACAAAGTCTCACTGTCCTAGACTTTGTAGACCAGCAGCTGGAGTTGCCTGTCTGCACAAAGTGAGTTGTTGGTAGTCAGATGAGTTGGGGACCATGCTTCAGTTGCCTTGCAGGATTTTTAGGAAGAGTGGCCCTGAGTGACTTTGATAGAGAGCCTGAGGTGGTTTATTTCTTGTGTAATAAAGGCCAACACTGAGAGAAAGTCACCTTTATGGAATGCTCTGACCACTTGAGGCTGCAAACACTGGGATGGTGACTAACTCATTAATTGTTCAACTATTAATTATGCCTCAGACCCTCTGGTAGGAAGAGTGGGGTGGTGGAGGGAAAAGAGTCCTGGTGAGATTGGCCCACAGGAGTCACCAACAGACTGCTACGGGCGCTAGACAATTGTCCTTGTCATGCCCCTGCTTGATTGGTTCGTGTCTTGTTCTCTGTTGCTGTTTAATAGCAAACTGAAAAGGCTAGAGCCTTAGTTTTAGAGACAGCAAGGGTGAGGGGGCCAAGAAGAAACACCATTGTGCAGTCAGTCCTGTGGGAAAAAGACCGCAGTATCAAGACCCCCAGGGAGGGACAGGAAGACACTAGGGGTCCTTGGGGGAAGGATGCAGTCCTGGTCACCGCCTTCATGGACCTCAGGTCTGGGAGCTTTGACCACAGGGGATCAAGCAGTGGTACCTTCAGTGATACAGGCACCTGGTCCTTGTGCCGACAAGCACAGGGGCTAGAGCTCCTTGTTCTGGATTCTGATTACCTGCTGGGGGTCTGGAGAATACTGAGGCGAAGCTTCTCCCTACTGCTTCTCAGCCTGCTGCTACACTTCTTCACCCTGACACAGGTGAAGAGCTGTCACTTTAGTGCAAGGCGACGCAGGTAGCGTGTTTGCTGCACCTATGATACATCTCCTAATGTGTCCAGTACGGTCCCAGGGAACAAAATAAATCTAAGACTTGCTTTCTGTCCTCCTGTCTGTGATGAGACAAGCGACTCATGAGCAGAGGTTAAGTGTGTCAACGTCCCTTTAGCAGCAGAATAAAGAATAGCCTCTTTGCTTGTTTTAAAGTGGATCATTTATTTGTTCATCCAACAAGTCAGGAAGAAGATGGGGACATCCCCACACATTTGCATTTGAGTAAGATTCAAGCCCCCCCACCCCCCCCGCCCCATCTTAGTTTGCTTAGATTACTGAAACAGATCGTTAAAACGGGCTTCCCAAAGGAGGAAAGGAGAATAGAAAGTGTCAGTGGGTGTTGGGTAATAAGAGCCATTTTATGACACTTGTTGTATGTGTACAGATATTAGGTAATAATGCAACATGTTTTACTTACTATAGGTGTCTAAAAAAAAAAGATAAAAAGCAAAAAGTGAAAGTTAATGATCTTTATAAATGCAAAAGTGGCCTTTTGCTCAGTGCTCAGGCAGCTGGCACAGCCCTGAGATCTTAAACACGGCCCTCCTGGATTGGCTTTTCTGCTTCCCTCTTACTCTCCTCCAAGACTCAGCCAGTGGTCCCGTCTTCTCAGAAGCCTTGTTTTATGAGAAAAGTATTTTACAGTCAGGATATGTTTGGAACATCTGGATGAAACAAAGCTAACTAGACTTCTGAATGGCAGAACTTTTTAGGGTTTTTTTTAGTTAATTAATTTATTATTATTATTATTATTTGAGACAGAGCCTCAAGCTGTCCCCCTGGGTCGAGTGCTGTGGCATCACAGCTCACAGCAACCTCCAACTCCTGGGCTCAAGC